AGCCCTGCGGCCGGGCTTTCTGCATCCCCGCTCAGGGTTCAACCGGCTGTGGACAGAACTTCCTTCCCCCAACGCGCAGCAGGAAGCCCCGGCCGCTCATCTTTTTGAGATCGTTCCCTTCCGAGGAGGAGAGCATTGTTAAGCTCGTATTCTTCTACAGCCTTTTTTTATCATACCAATTTGCTGGTAGCTACTGGGCACACGAGAACTTCTGTGCGGCTCTCTTGTGGTCTGTTTATTTGTTAAATGTATACCCCAGCTTTCCTCCAGGAGTTCAAGGCATAGGGCTCTCCTCGTTTCCTCCAAAAACAATCCGTGAGGTAGGTTGGGCAGAGAGAGGGGGACTGGCGCAAAGTCACCCCGGGAGCTTCTGTGGGGGAGCTTGATCTGGGGTCTCCCCACACTAGGCCTAGGAAGGAGCAAGCCGAATTGCCGCAGCCCAAAGGATGGGAGGGTCTTCCTAGGCCATGGGAGGTCACTCCTGGCTCACAGGCAAGTCCCTAGCACCGCACATGCCCCCCCCAAACAACTCCAGGTTGTACCACCAAAAGTGGTTGAATTTCAGGGGTGCCGTAGTTTTGCTTTCTTCTTCCCAAATGAAGGGTGGGAGTGCATCCTGAGGTTATGGCTGAACACTACCCATCTCTCCGAGCTGGTGGGAAGCAGCAAGGATAGGCCGGCTCGCAGAGTGCTCTCCAGCTTGCAAGGCACGAGCGTGAGCAGGCACGCACGCACGCACGCTGGCTGGCATTTCCTCCCAGGTTAAATTCCAGAGGAGGGATGGGGGGGGGCAGAAGGACAGGCTGAAGACGGGCTTGGCCCCAGCCCAAAGAGAACCTGCGATGGGCAGAGTGGCCTGGCAGTAAACAGGCGGGCCGCAAGGGTTAGCTGCCGCGCAGAGTCCCGGGAGTTCAGGGAATCCTGTACTGTAAGGAAGCGAACCTGAACCGCCGTCTGCTTACGACTCTTTCTCAGCGGCATAATAAAAGCTGATCTGATTCCTTGTTCAAAGGTGGCGGCAGACGGCTGTCCCACACCTTCCCCACACTCCACCACGTCACACAGCTGGGGAGAAACCAAAGAACTTCCTTGTCAGGGTCTGAGGGTGGCAGGAAAACAAGAGATCCCATAGAAGTCTCCGTAGATTACTGGGGACTGAAGAACGTCAGAAGTATTTATTTTAAAGAGTGTATGTAGGTGAAGGAAAGTGAAGCTGTAGGTTAAAGTATGAACTGGGGTTATCTAGGTTGTTATGGGTGCATATGAAAGCGGGAATTGGTGATACTTTCCTCTTGCCTTCCGCTGAATTATGATAACAGAAAGCAGATTTCTGAAAAATATTATTGGGGGCGGGTGTGGGGAGAGAATTCATGAATGCATAGTGATTTCTGGAATGCAGGTGGATATTGGGAGAAAATGGACACAGAAGAAAAGAAAAATGAAAGAAACAACAGGAAAGAATCACTCCTGGCAGAGAAATGAGCAAGTCTTTAGCAGACAGGGTCTCCCAACAGACTGAATGGGTAGCAGAGGTGGAAGCTGCTTGGGACAGAGTGCCAAGGATTTGAGGAAGTTGGTGCAGCTCATGAAGAGGGTGCTTGGTGGAACGAGAACGGGAAAGACGGGAAAGAGGCTGTGCGTGAGAAAAGATGAACATGGGAAAACGACAGCTGCAAAAATAGGGCAGAGACGCAGGCAGGGAAGAACAGCAGAGCATGCAGCTGAGAGTAAGAAGCAGAGAAAAGGGGCAGAGAAAACGTAGAACAGTTTTGATGGAAATAAAATTGTGTTGCATGAAAAGGGCTAAAGAAGGAGCTCTAGGAGTGTAAATGGAGGCTTTTTTTTAAAGGAATGAAGACCAAGGATGGAGATTATCAGATTCGTGGGGGGGGGGGGTGGAAGACTGCCCTTCCTCCCCCCCATGAGAAAAGGGGGAGAAAGCTTGCCCCTTTCCTTTCCAATAATGCCACTTGAAAGTTGGGAGCTGATTTGTGGCCCCTGACCTCTCTCCCCAGGCGACTGGAAAAGAGGGAGGCCCACTGGCTTCCTGGGTGTCCTTCTGTCCCTCTGAGCCCTCAGGGTAAGCGAATCCAGACCCCCTGGGAGGAAGACAGGGACCATTCCTCTGCTGAATGGGAAACACTGCCCCGCGGCCTTCCAGGGTCAAACCGGATTCCCTGAAGGAACCAGCCGCCTCCTCTCCTCTGGACAGGCAGCGGGTGGAGTGCCCAGGCATGGCGCAAGTCTCTTGCTGGGGCTGGGGGGCAGCCAGGAGTTGGCTTCCTCCACCAAAGGAGGCTCAGCTGAGGGTGGGTTCCCTGCCCTGGGAAGCTCAAGGTCACTCTTCCTTTGGACCCCTCTGGAGCCTTTTGAAGTAGCCCTGCTTCCCGGGCAGAGCAACCAGCCGGGCCCCAAGGTTTGGATACGTTCCCAGTTCCCTGGAGGTGGTGGCAGTGGCAGTGGCAGTGGCTGAGCCCAGAGCAGAGACCCTCTGCCCCTCCTCCCAGCGTCAGGAGGCAAAGGAGAAGGTGCAACACGGGCCCAAAATGAGCGAAACTACTTCATTGATGGAAAGTTCACAACATGGCTCCCCGAGGGACAGTCGAAGGAAAGTGGAAGGGGCCGCTCTGGCTCGTGGGGGACAGCAAGTAGGACCCTCCTCAGCTGCCTGGGAGCCCCCAGTGAAGCCCACGGGTGAGTGGCTGAGCATCCTAGACAGCGGGCCAGACAGATGGCTGCTCCCCTCCTCGGTTGGGGCACCTTCTTTCACACGAGTGCCTGAGAACAAGGAGCAACAGTTAGCAGGGCAAGCAGGCGAGGGTTGTGTCCTTGGGGCAGACCAGAGCCAAGCCCCCACCGGGCAGCGGCCCTGAAGGGCAAGCAGGAGGTGCCCTGGACCCCCCAAGGGGTCGGGGGCTGGGGAGGCCCTGACTCATCCACTGCAAGGCCTCCCTGCTGGGCCCCCGTTCCCCCGGCCTCCAGCCCAGGTATGCTGACGGCCTCCCTTACCTCTCCCAGGCTAGAACTCCCAAAGGCAGTCTCGGGTTACCTCCTCGCCGTCAGCCACCAGGCAACCCTCCCGATCCCCACGCAGATAGTAGCCGTTGGGGGCTATGATGGCCAGCAGGTTGTTCCCTTGGATCTCCAAGTAGAAGTTCAAGGCAAACTTCCCCCAAGGACTGAAGGTCCTTTCTGGGGTCAGGGACCAAAAGCTCTTCCCACGGCCTGTGGAAGGAAGGCAGGCAAGAGAGGGAGGAAGGAAGGAAGGAAAAGAAGGAGGGGCTCGCCTCCCTCCCATCAGCAGCCTCTGGCCCTTTTGCAAGGGGTAAACGCAGACTTCAAGGTGGGAGCAGGCAGGCCTTTCTGAGACATCGGTACAGAATGTTGTCCAAACCTAGTATACGAAGATGGTGTCTGTGCAGATGGGACCACCTGAGGAATGGCTACAGAGAAGGGAGCCCTGCACTATTCTCTGCCACACGAATGGCACGGCTTCTTTGGGGTGGGGAATGCTTGAGGATGCTCCTGATGGGGGACAGGTGCAGAGTCCCCCCGCACTTACTTTGGAGGTGGTAGATCCCATGCTTGCAAGGCAGGATCTCAACAGGGTCCGGTTCCAGAAGGTTGCACTGCAGCATTTCTTGGCACGTGGAGCTCCCCACGTAGCCATAGCGCCCACGTAGCACCAAGAAAGACCGATTGGTGAAGCGCAGCACAAACTCCTCATTGGGCCCTGCAGCAGAAAGGAACCATGGAGGCTGAATCCAGGGTGGCGGGGGGCCCATGGCGTCCGGAAGCTTTCATCAAGCAAGTCTAACAACTGAGCTGCCAAGAGTGCACAGGGGCGTCATCCTGCCAGGCCCGTGTTGACAGTGCTTGCGTGCCAGGCACAGCATCTTGCCATGCAACCGTTAAGTCCTTGAAGCCACCAGACCAGGTCAACCCCTGCTCAGGGCAGGGATCTTGATCACAGCGCTGCAGAGATGCCGCCCAGCCTCTGCGTGAGCTCGCACAGGTGCTGCTTTAGCCCTCGGAGCCTAATGGGGGGCAGCCCTGTGAGGGGGGGCCTTTGTATTTATACACTTGTCTGACACACGTTCCTGCGGTCAATCACCCCAGAAGCTCTGATCGACAGTTGGGATTATTCCAAGAATCCAGGGAAATCTAGGGACAAAGCAGCAGAGGTCTTTGTGCGGGATTCTGGTCACGCTAAAATAACAGGTAGATTTATCTTCTTTGGTCTGTGCATGTTGGAAACCTTGTTTGCTCCGATTTGCTACTTCTCTAAATAGGACGTTCTGTGCAATTTTGGACTGATGTCTGGAAGATTTGTTTTCTCCATGTTAACTTCTGAAGAGCTGAAAGGTGAGCTCACTCATCTTCTGGTCTCCAAGAGCACTGCATGTATTTTATAAACCAGGCTTTGTATATTCTGAACAACTTCTTTTTGTTTTCAATAAAATCTGGCTTTGTTTGGCTATTCTGAGACTGACTTATTTCCCAGCAGCAGGAGGGTTGGAAGCTGAACCACAGGCCTTTATCTTACTGGGCTGGGAGGTCATGGCCTTCAGAAAAGGGGTTAAATCCTGGCCCTGCCAGAAGGCCTGGGGGCTGGATGGGGGCTCACATCTGTGGAGATGGCTGGTGGGGGGATGGGTTTGGTTCCCCCCCCCCCCAGCATCTTGAAGGTTTTAAGGCTAAAAATTACAGGGGTTTTTTAGGATTTTTAA